TTGGTGCTGTGTAGCATAAGACACGGTCCCTCCCTGGGAGGAGTTTGCAGCCTGCAAGTACCAGGTGCAAAGCGGGCCGTGAAGAGGGGTAATCATGTGCAAGTGGAAGGACCAGTGCTGTGGCTTTGGGCTTTTTGATGATGATGATGTTGATGATAATTAGAAAATCTTGGGGGTGAGATTTGTTAGGAGGTGACTAGCCGGACAGCAGGGTGAAGAGAGGCAAGGGAAGAGGAAGATAGGGAGTATAGTGTTGTCCCTCCTCTTTCTGTGTAAATATCGCACGCGCTGAGGGTCGCGGGCTGTAAATACTTGTTGTTCTAATAAGCTCTAATTGTTACCTTGAGCAAGGTGGGAATGATACAAATGCAGCAGAACTGCCCCAAAGTTAACACTGTTTCATCCAGGGTTAAGGTTTGAGCAGTTCTGCTGCATTTGTGTCATTCCTGGCTTGTCCCCAGGTCACAGTTCAAAGGTAACGGCTACTGCCCTTGTGCAATGGCCCCCGGCCTGCCTGCGTCCGTACCCTCGGTGCCCCCTGCCCAACCTACCGTCTTCCTGCCATCCGCGGCGCCTGCGTGCGATACCCCGGCTCCCTCCCTCGGCCCGCCCCGTGTCCGCACGCTGCAAGTTCACGTCTGCTGCTGTTGTGCGTGCGCCGTGCCTAGGACAAGCATCTCTGCCCCGTTCTTCACTGTGCACTGCTGTAGTCACTGGGATTAAGGCATTTCTCCATTGGTCTTGAACTGACCTCTGCATTTATGAATCAAGTGTGCGTGCCAACTTGCTTAACCCAGTCCTTTAGAAAGCAACGCATAATATTATTTTTTAATCAGTCTGAGAGGCCATGCTATGGCAGCTCTTTGGGGCAAAATTAGTTGGGATATTTTGGTGTGCAGCTGTGGAAGTAAGCCCTCAACTCTTTCCTGATTTCCAGTCTGTCTGTCTGTTTTTTCCTTAAACACTAATCTTGAAAAGTAATGGCAGGCTCAGTGATTGGTGGTCACAGCTTTTCTATAATCTGTTACTTGGAATTGCTGTGTGACGGTATCTTTCTGTCCTAGCAGACTTCCACTTCTGACTTCCAAGGAGATGATAACGGTAGATTCTTCCACAGTCTGACTTTCATACAAAGTTTGTCTAAAAGAGATCATCCCATCCACATCCCACCCTTTGTTCCTTCCTGACCCAGCCTTTCCTATGGATCAGGATACTGGCACATGTTTGCAGAGGTAAGGATAAGATAAAGTAGTAGAAACCTGCTTTTGTGCGCTTGGGATCTTCATTTTTGTAAGTAGCTTTTCTCATTAAGTGCCAATAGGCAAATCACATATAGGGCACACATTGTGTGGTGAAGATGTTGGGGAGAGTGTTTCAGAGGACGGGTACTTAATTCAGGGCTTGAGAATTTTTCTAGTACCAAAAGCACCTGCAAATAAACGACACGGGACACCTTCAGCATTAGGATCCTTCTCCCATAGGGACCGACAAGAGCATTGCAGCCAGACCCGGCGTGTTTCTCAAGCAGAGGAGGGGCAGACTGGATTTTGAATTGTGTGCAGGCATAGAGAGAGGTGTTGTGAGCAGTGTGTGTCACGGTGTGGTTAGTGTGTGCACAGTCGCAGGCCTTTTCCCCTGGGAAACCTCACTTGTGAGCCTTACGGTTTCTATCAGAGCGTACTTCTGTCTGTGTCTGCTTTCAAGTGGAGCTTTGCCTAAACCGGATCAATATTTTGCATTCCATGCGTGAAGAACCAGATGTTAGAAGTTTCCTGTTGTTGGAAGGGGGTGAGTACCCCCTCCTGATTTGCAGAGATCAATGCTGTCTGACAGGAGCTGGTTGGTTTTCCTTAGGAACAATATATTCTTTTGATTTTCAAGTTGAATTTTCTTCTAATGAGTGTTCTTGTTTAGTATTTTGAATGTGTGTTTGTGCAAGGAGGGGAATTCTCTTCTGGGGAAAGCTTTACAGCATGATGGACTATAACTACACTTACCTGTCCTGTGTTTCATCATTCTCAGTAATGCGCCGGCCAATAATTGCCGGAGTGATGTGCTTGCCTGCTTTTCCCCTGGTGTACTTCTGCAGTAAAATCACAGTACTGTAAGTGTGACATCACTGCCACATCCGTGCCAGCCTGATCAGCTGTCTAGGAACTGGGCTGTGTGCGCATTGTGACCAAAGAGGGGGGATCCTGACTGCACCTACACCCCTGGGATGGGAGAGAAGAGAACAGCCCTGCAGCAGACAGAGGTGTACAAAGTTGCTTAAAATAAATGGTTTCCTGAAGTCTGCCTTTAATCAGAGCAGTCAGAATTGTTCCTGTAGTCATCACAGAGAGCGTACTCTCAAATCTTCCCTTAAACCGTGCGCGTAGCACCCCAGGTTGGGGAATGCCTCGCGGGTGACCTCCCTGAACCAGGTGTCAGTTGTATTACCACCTAGCAGCCGGAGCAAAAGGAATTTCCCTCGTGGTCGAGGTTTTCCATATGTGCCTGCTTGGGGTTTCTTGCACCTTGTGGTACAGGCTGCTTTCGGAGGAAGGATGCAAGTGGTCCTGGTTTGGAAGTGCTGCATCTCTTTCCTGGGCTCCCTGTTGTTTGCTCAGGACTTGGGAGGCTTCTGCCTGCCAGAGGTTGGTGCCCTCAGGGAGATGAGCGCTTTTGCCACAGTCCCGAACTCTTGCCCGCATGAGACCCGAGTCGGCAGAGCGCGTGGACTGGGCTGGTTGAGCTGAGCACAACACTGCGACATCCCCGTTTCCTTCCATCAGTCTTGGCTTTCCTTTCATCTTTTTTTGGCAAAAGCTTATGCTAGTGCACGAACAGAAGAGAAATGAGAGCGCAGGCGGGAGAAGTAAAGGTCTCCCCAGAGAGAAAGCAACAGTAAGATCCTTTGAGGGCAGCAGTGGCACAAGTGTCTTGGTGGGTCCTACAAATTTAATTAAAGGGATCGTGATTCCCCAAGAGGCTCTTCTGATTAGCAGCACGGGGATGAGCGTGTCCTTCTCCTGCCCCTTCCAGGTGAAAGCAGCAGCTCCCGGTCCTGTCCCGCTTCTTAAACAGTCCTTGGCTCAGAGAGATCGCCTACGTCTTTGGGCCCTTAGTTGACAACACTTAGTGGCTGGAGCTTCGAGCGTGCGACCGAAGTGAACGTGCTTCAGTTCACCCAAACCAGGATGTGTCGGACACGGTGTCCCCGGGTTTGTGCAGGCGATGAGGTGGTGTTGGGGGCTGCTGTGAGATAAGCACTGCCAAGCATGTAGTGAGGGCTGGTGCTGCAGTCCAGTGCCACGGGCTGAGCGGTCATCCTTGGCCTCTGGCTGCGTCCCTCTGTCCCCGTGCACTGGCTGCCATGCTGCTGTGGCGTTTTGGGGAGCAACCTGAGCTGTATCCATGCCAAGCAGGGCTCGTGGCATGCTCTACGCAGCTGGGGGAGTGAATTCACACCTGTCTTTCCACTTGTGTTTCACTCCAGCTAGCGGGAATCCCAGTGACATGGCAAATAACAGTTGGCCCCTTGTGCCAGCATGATCCGGTGGGGCTCTGTGGCAGAGAGTCGACAGGTTTCCTCGGACGACCACGAGATTGCTCCTGTTTTATCCTTGGTTTCAGTTGAGCATTTCTCTCGTGTAATTCTTTCTGTGCAGCATTGGCGGCAGCTCTGCGGAGCCCGAATCTTGCCGTTCGTAGGGTGCAAGCAGTGTTTAACAGTGGAGTCTCCCAGTAAAAAAGGACATCCGTCCTTCTGCTTGGCTGTTGGAGCCAGCACAGGAGCAGCGTGTGCTGCCTCCCTGGCTGCTTCGCGCAGGGCAAGAGAGTTGGATGCTGTGTTTCAGCAGGATGAGGAGACCCATCGGTTTCAGCCTTTCCGTATTTCTCACTTTTCCCCCTTCTTTCTCTTCCCCTCGTATGACAGGCAAAATGCACATGGCCTCCTACAAGGTGTCAGCTGTGGGAGAGGAGCAGTGAGGCACAGTGCTCCCCTTCGCCCGCGAGGTCCTGTGCATTTATACACCCCATTGCTCCTGTCCTCCGCTTGACGCACGGTATTCCTGGGCCGTCAAAGCACCTTCACGTACAGCCTTCAACCCTTCCAGGCTCGACGGCGTGGCGAGGGCTCAGGGAGGGGGACACGGCATGGGGACGCTCGCTGCCCCGCAGGGTAGGGTGTGATATTAGGCTTCTCGTTTCAGCTGCACGTTTTTGAGCAGCTCGGTTCCCCAATTTCATATTTCTGCCGGCAGTGATGGACTCTGACAGGCAGCGAGTTATTAAAGGCTTGAGCAGCACCTTTTCATGACAGGTGGAGGTTGACTTTAGAAAGGGTCTTTTTGAGGGCTGTCAAGGTGGTCTGTGTCTGTAAGGGGGATTCAGTACTCGGGGGGCTGAGAACTTGTCCTCTGCTGTCTCTATTCCCCAGAGTCCATCTTTTGCTGCAGAGCGAGGACTTTCCTTTGGCTCACGCCCACCTCATCACATGACTTTTTCCCACCAGACCTGCAAACTGATACCCCACCTCCTTCAAGTCCTTCTGTAGACCCATCCACTCCAAAAAGAACTCTGGGATGTTTGCTCCTTTCGGGTCTCCGGGCCCGTTTGGAGCTGGAGGGTTTTGTCCACGCTCTTCAGTTACAGACTCCTGCGTTTGGGGCCTGGGTTGTCTCTTGTACGCTCTTGAGCACGGTCGGCCCTTGCAGAAGACACGGCAACAATTCCTTGCCCATGTTGATCATTCCTCTTTCCGCATGCAGCCCAACCTCTCTGTAGGTTGCTGTCGGTCAGTACAGTGGTGCCAGGTAAATTCCTACTCGAGGTACCTTCATAGTAACCACCCGAGGAACATCTGGGTCTGGCTCTTGGATTTTGTTCAGTGCTTTTCCTGGCGTTGAGTTCCAAGTTACCTATCAGTAGCTTGCCGTGCTGTAACCGTAGAGGCTGGGGAAGGGGTATAGACAACTTCAACTTTATCATGTACGTCTCTGCTTTGTTCTTCACAGCACCTTCAGCATCATGAGAGTGGGGTCGAGGGTGAAAGCTGCTATTATCACTGTGTCCTCTGCAACTACTCCACCAAGGCCAAACTGAACCTCATCCAGCACGTACGCTCCATGAAACATCAGCGGAGTGAGAGTCTGCGCAAACTGCAGCGTCTCCAGAAGGGCCTCCCTGAGGAAGAGGAAGACTTGGGGCAGATCTTCACCATTCGGAAGTGTCCGACAGCTGATGCTGGTGAGTAGCACTTTTCCAATGTGAAAAGAAGTTGGCTGTTGCAGTTGACCATTATGTGACCATTGACATTTGACTTGTACACACAACTTCATGATGAGCTCCGGACTTTTCTTGTGGTCTCCCTTCCCCTAGAGCAGTGATATTTTTACGTTTTATAGTAGCACGGAGCAGGGGTCCTTAGTGCAAGGCGCTGTGCACGCACATCCGAGAAGATAATCTTTGCGTCAAGGAGCTCCCAGTTAAAGGCCCTGAATTTAGGGGGTCGTAAGCATGAGAGTAGCCCCATCAGTTTCAATGGGAGTAATTACGCGTGTAAAGTTACCCGCATACATGAGCGTCTGCAGACTGGTGACTAAGACTGCTGGAGATGAAGGGGAGGCTAAGACAATCAAATTCAAGCAACTGTAATGGATTGGACCATTTACATTTTATCAGATAAATACCAATCTATATGATTAGAGCCAGGTAGCCTCCTGTGGCCCCATGCAATCACTGACTGATTTCCTACAAATATTGTGACTTCAGGAGGAATCTGTTCAGGAAAAATGTTCCTTAGGGGGCTGGATGGGAAAATATGGAGACGTTTATGCCAGATTTTGGCAAGCAGCAGCCAAGGCTGGCATAGTTCATAGCACAGAGGAAGGAGGAAGCGCTCAGGAAGAACTGAGCAGACAAACTGGGACTGGACAGAGGAGGGAGTTGAAGAAGGATTCCCAGAGGGGGCGGTTAGGCTGCCCAGAAAACAGGAGTCTGTTTCACGGGGGCAGAAAAAAGAGAGGTTTCAAAATTCATTTTCATTCCCCTTTTGGAACAGAGCCAAGGCATGGCAAAATAAATGAACACCCCAGAAGCCAGGTCATTAAGGCAGTCACCTAGGAAATGAGAGAGGCAGGTAAACATTGGCCTGTTCACTTGTGCTCCGATACAAAATCCCCCTGTGCTTCCCCGGTGGAAGTTTTGCTGAAATTGATAATATTCCCCAAACGGTTTCAGTTCTGGAGTACCGACGTGTCCTCCAGCGAAGAGATGCTTTGTGGGGGTGGGCTTCCTGCCTGGCTCCAGGCATGGCGCGGTCATTGTGACGGGGCAGGGAGCAGGTCCTGGGTTGCAGCAGTTGAGACGGGAGGTCAGTCCCTGAGTGAAAGCGTTGTGTGGATGGAGATAAACATGCAGATCTTGCACCAGTGTTGGTGGATGGAGGATTCAGTTGCTGAAATGCATCTTGCTCCACAAGGAACTGAGATTGTTTTAAAAGTGAAGCCAAAGACATCAGCTCATTAGAGTCCAATTAAGCCTACGCACTCCATCTGAGAGGCAGATCTGTGGGCTTGCATTTCATGGAGGCAGGAGGCATGGAGTCATCCCTCCTCACCTGGGGAGGTCCTCTGCGGGTGCCGCAGCTCGGAGGGGCCAGTTGCACTTGCATCTCCTCCGTGCCACAGAATTGCTGGAGGACTGGATGCAACCGTAGCCAAAAGAGGCCCTTTCAGTGTCGGAAAAATCTGCACTGATTTGTAGTTTATGGACCTGTAAATACTGTGGTATCTGTGCATTCTTCTAGCAGTGAAACGTGAAGAGAGAGAAATTGGCTGGGTGCCCTTTTCTACCAGAAAGAGGCTGGAAAATCTTATTTTAGAAAACATATTTCTGTTTCTCTCAGTTTAGAAATTCAGGCAGGACTTATCACATTTTTCCTCGAAGGCTTTATGAATAACTGGAGATCTGTCAGGATTATGCCGTCACAAATACTGCAGAGGTGGAAGCTGATGAGCTGAGAGGGAAAGGGACTGATGAAGAGTTGAGATCTGTGTGTGTACGAGCTCGCGTTCCAGTCTCCACCCTTTCAAACCCATCTGATAGCGCTTCACTCCAGTTTGCTGCCTCGTCCACAGCAGCCACCCTCAAACAGGAGAACAAAAATGACAGGCACGCTCCTGCAGCAGGGCTGGAGTCTTGTAGCCGTGACGGTCCAGGAAGCGCACAAGAGGCCAAGGGGGTTTTGCGATGCCTCGTACTGGACCGACTGTGCAGTTGGGAGAGCTGTTGGACAGGTTTTTCAGGCATCAGTGACCTTGGGGTTTGGTAACCTGCAGAACAGCACTGAAAGCATTTAGCACCTCTCACAGCCGCACAGTTGGTCTAGTAAGAGGTATCACAAGAAATCCTTGCCTCGTACAAAAATATTTAGCTCTCCTGAGGCTCAAAAAGGCAGGAAAGAAACCTCTTAGCTCAATAAAGATTCAGAAGAGAGCGCGGTCTGCTTTGCCAGTCCCCAGCTGGGATGTTGCACTGTGTTTTTAAGCAGACTTCAGCCCACCCATGCGAGAAGGCAGGTAGAGGAGAACCTTTATCCTCTCAGGTGGTGGCTGGTGTAGTAGTTGTTCTCCCCAGCGGTTGCTCTTGTTTCAGTTCCTAGAAGTTTAGAGACCAAATACCTCTGCAGGGTCCCATCTGGCCTGTGCCTGAGCTGTTCCTTGCAGCGTTTACACCAGTGTCATGTCCGGTTGCACGTCCAGCAGTTCACCTGCTGGTCTCCCAGGGCTGCCTGCGGAGGTGCTTGCACAGCCCCACGGGTCATCTTGTGCTGGCCATGGCCGCTCGAGAACGGGCTGTATTTACATGCGTCCTGCGCAGAACGTGCCTCCCTGGGCTGACAAGTCTCTGTCAAAGGGGTTTCCAGCACCAGTCCATTGCAGCACATGTTCACGATTAGTCTGATGCATGCTATCATTGCTCAGTTGTCTTCAGCTTTATTCATTTCTTTCTCTCTTGTTAGTTATCTTTGCTTTACGTCCAGGGTGTCAAAGATACGGCCTGTGGGCTGGATCTGACCCTGCGTGCTGCATGTAGCATAGGGGGCTGCTCAAGGGCACACGCAGCACATGATGCCCATGCTGGCCTGACCCTTTGTGCTGGTTTGGGCCCACAGACTGTCCCCGAGTGCTGGAGCCAGCATGCAGGGCTGGGCGGGTACAGGTGCCACGTGCCCCATGAACGTGGGGCTGTACTGGGCATAGGGAGCTGGACTGGCCCTGCATGCTGGCTTCACGTCCAGACTGGATCAGGCCCACAGACGAGAGCCAGCATGCAGGGCCGGTCTGTCACAGGCATCTCACACAACACGCAGCCCAGGGTGGCTCTGCACTGGGTCCCGACTGGGGCTGGCCCATGCTGCATGCGGCACGTCGGGCTGGTCTGGGGTTTGCACTGTGCGAGCTGCCTGCACCGACCCTGTGCGCGGGCGTCGGGGCATGGGGCTGTTGTGCCTGCAGGCTGACCCTGCACCCCTCATTGGCCTGCAGGGCCACATGTTTGACACCCTGCCTTAGATGCTACTTTTGCTTATCAGCACAGGCTGATAGTGGGCTTCCCCGAGTGAATCCCCCTTCGTCATCTCCAGCTTAGCTTTCTGATTTCCTGCCGGATCCCCTTAGAGCCCCCCACGCTAAATCCTGCCCAGCACGGGGTCTGCCCAGGGCCCCTGCTTGCATGCAGCGCCCAAGCTGCTGCTGTTTGCTCACCCCTTCTGCCGGCCCCCCGCAGTTCTGCAGCAGACGGAGGGAGGGGTAAGGCTTTCCTCGCTGGAGGTATGCCACAGCGCTGACGACCGCATAGCTCCCCTCACCACCGTGATCCTGAATCCACCCGTGGCAGAAGCTGTCCTTGGCATCCTTCAGCAATGAGCGAGTTGTCAACACAAACTGTGTAACTACTAAACAGGAATCTCCCCCAGGGCAGCCTAAGAGCCCTGGACTGGGACTCGAGCAGCTTGGCTTCTGCTCTGGCTCTTGCACTGCTCTGCCGGGTTATTTCAGCTCCAAGTGGGCCTTGCAAACATGGATAACAGTGCTGACTTCCAGTGCATGCTAGTGCAGCCTGAACCTTGTCCCTCTTCTCCAAATATCCCTATTAATAAACTTGAGCAGTCAGCAGCTCTGCTTGGTGTGCGCATGTTGTGGCTATCGGTGTTGGGCTGTCTCTGAGCCCTGCGAGGCTTTGCCACCTTTGAGCTGTAATGATGGGATGCTCCAAGCTGCGCTGATGGGCCTTGCGCTGAACTTGCCTCTGAGGGTTGGACTGTGGTGATGGATGGGGGTGGCAGTGGTTAGGGTATCTGGGGACTGAAGTGGTGGGCAGAGGGGGATAGGAAATGCGCTTTTGTTCCCAGCATCTGTTGGTGCACAAATGTTGTGGGCAGGGCAGTTTCT